AAACCCCAAACATCGAAGAGCTCCACTTCTAAAATCGAATTTTGTGGCATCTCCATCCTGCTTGATATATTCTCAATTCTTTGACATCTATCACAAGCAACAACAAAGTCAAGGGCATCATGAAATAATGATGGCCAAAACAAATCCGATTGCAGAACTTTGCCTTTTACCCTGACCGAAGTGGCCTCCTCCATCTAGGGTATGACTAAAATTAAGCACACTTGCTACTTCATTCTCATGAATACATCGTCTCACCACAGAATCAACACAATTGTTATATATGAAAGGATCTTCCCATATGTAATTCTTAGCCACGGTTGGTAAGAAAGGTTAGGAAGCTTAATTGTAGCAAGATAATTTGCTATGTCAACATACAAGGGCTACTCTCACTACTAAAGCAAAAAGTTGTTCATTAGGGAACAAGTCATCAATATCGATGCCATCCTTGGGAATCACATTGACTCATCCCGAATACCACAATAAAAATCCCAATTAAGGCCCAATTATAAACCTTAATTGGGTGCAATATAGGGTAAGTATGTTTAATTGTCGACCCGGGCCGGTTCATGTACCCCTACTTCGATTGTTTGTAACATTATCTAGCATTTGATTTTTGGTGAAAACAACGATCTATAGCTAAAATGTTTGGAAAAGTAAATGGATTTGACACTAATTGAGAAGGCTTCAGCCGGTTCTTGCTCCCCCTAGCTAACAATTATGACTTGTCGGATTGAATGGACACATGTGGTAAGGTGGTTGTAAACCGTAGGAAAGTGCAACAAGTAACCAAATTCCACTCTCTCGGTCTCTAGGTCGAGGGAATTCGATTCAAGCCACCAAAGTGACTCTCTCGACCTATCGACAAGGGTTGCCAAGACTTCACCCTCAAATCAGAGTTTGGACGTCCAATTACTACCAACCCTAGGTGCTAATACAAAATAAGAGGGCTACCCTACATTAACCCAAATAGGAGACAATGAATTGCCTCAGAAAATCCAGCTTTGCAAGCCTCTTTCAAAGAAAGGGGGGTTTTCTCTCTACCTATATTCACAATCTTTCATGAATAATACTTCCATATTCACATTAAATACATCCACACACAAATCATTCAATCCGTACAAACATTCACATAATTGTAGCTAGGCTTTACAAACACCCAAGTGAAAGAAGGGACTACTCCATGCTAGAAGAAGGGAAAACACAAGAGAGAAGAAGGAAAACCATCAATGAGATGCTAGCATTGCTCCTTGTGTTGAAGAGATCTTCCTTTGGGGGGAGGAATTTCCAAATCCTTGCTTGAAGATGAAACCCTAGTTTTTCCTCTTCTTTGGTTTGTCACTTTCTCGCTCTAGAAATATGAAGAAGAAGAAAAAGAAGAAGAAGTTTCTCACACTAGGCCTCTTCCTCTTTTTCTCCTTCAGCTCAACCTCCTTTTATAACTAGTGAACTGACTTGAGTCCAGTGAAAGCGATTTACGCTCTAGATTCCTGGCGGGTCACGGCTAGCGTCTCCAGTTCACGGTCTTAGTGAGCGTGAACACACAGCTCAAACCGTGATATGCTGCTGCTTCCACCCTTTGACTTGATTTTTCGCCCTTTCGTCCAACTTTCGACTCCGGGGTTGGTTCCACCTGTCATAGTCTGAAAAACACCAAAACAAGGCAAAACCCGACGTAAAACCAAACCTCCCATAGTAGAAATGCTTCAAACGACTAAAGAAACCGGGGGGTAAAAGGTGTACAAATGAGCCCGAATCACTCCCCCACACTTAGACGTTTGCTTGTCCCAAAGCAAACCATTTTCAACCTATGTGATATCTCAACCTAACAAAATAACTTGGGGACAAATCAAAAGGCACAAAGCGGTGAATCTCAATGACTATTGGGCATGAACACATGAACCGCCTCAAACAATACTGGCATCCACCACAAACGACATTCGAATGCATCAAGAATGGGCAAATGAAAAGTTCTCACCCTTTTCACAAATAAATGCAAGTGTCGACCAGACTACTCACCAACCACAACTAACCATGCATATAACTAAAGTCCTAGGAACAAACGATGGGGCAATATAGGATTGACGAGGATTAACGAGGAGGAGGAAGATGACGCGGCAGGGTCTAACTATGACGGTCGTTGTGTTTCGAGTTATGGGTTTATGGGGCTGATTTCATACGAGCAGATATGCCAGTGTCGGCTGCGATGGGCAGGCGATTGTTCGTGGCAGCAACAGTGGGTTGACAGTAGAAGACGCCACTAATTTGAGATCGATTTGCTGGGATTTGCTCCATTGAGGGATTTGCACTTTGATGTTGCTGCTAGGCTATGCTCAATTGAGGGATTTGCAAGGATCAGTAGTTGCAGGTTTGTTTGTTTCTATGTTTCAAAGGGGGTAAGGGAGGAAGAAGAGAAGAACGATGCATAAGGAAGGAGTTAAGAATTTTTATGTTCTATCTATTTTAGTTTATTGTTATAATGAGGTGGAAATGGTAAATATATTTTTTATTTGCCACGTCACTAATTTGACGGTCAACCATAAGAGTTGACTGCCACATCAGAAAAGTTAACGGAAATTAACGAGTGTGAACAAACTTGAATTTTAAATTAATTTTAGTAATCACAAATGGTATAAATTAATTTTAGTGGCAAACATAAAATATTTTAATAATTTGAGTGACCAAACTTGCAATCTTGAAATTTACCCGATTTTTTGGGCATTGCTATTCATCGCTTTAAAAATTTGTATTCGTCGCCCTAGTTAAGTCAAATTTACTTCAATGTCCTTAAACCATTTATTTATCTTTCAAACACTTATCCCAACTTAAACTCATATATTACACCAAAATTAACAAAATATTAAACTCATATATTACACCAAAATTAACAAAATATAAGGAAAGAAACAACAAAATAAACCTCAAAATAAACTCAGCTACGGTGGCAACCTTTCTATGTCCATATGATCAATGCCCTTGACCTCAGTTCCACCCTTGCTAGAACGTTGTGTTTTTTTTGTTTTTTTTTGTTTTTTTTGTGTATGGTTGATACATATAAACTGGGTTCAACGGAAATTAGCAATTTGACTTTGAATCAGCGAGAATAAGAAATATATTGGTACTCTTAAATTCATTGAGCAAATTTGAGTAGTTAATTGGGTTAGGTTCGGATTGGGTCTAACCGGGTTGGCGTCAATCGGGTTGTGAGTTCAATCGTGTCGGTTTCAATTTGGATCCAGTTTAATTGGGTTGCAGGACAATTGGGTTACGAGTCAATCAGGTCGCTGGTCAATTGGGTTACGGATCGGGTCGGGTTACGGGTGCATCAAATTACGGGTTTATTGGATTGCACGTTAATTCGGGTTCGGGCAGGTCGGATTATGGGTTATTCGGGTCAACCCATTGGATCATTTACTTCTTGACAGAAAATAATGTTTTACAAACTATCAATATATGAATATAAATTGTAGGTAATGATACAAAATTTAAGAAAATGATAATATGATAATATTTTACACATACAAATTAAATAATCATTATGTTAGTATAAAAACTAAATATAAATAAAATAGTGTATATAAAAGCTTTGTTGTTGGTTGTAATTTTTTTGTTTATAGTGTGAGATTGTAACTTCACTTATTTTATTAATTTATAAAAAAATTGAATCAGTAAAAAATTGAGAATGAAGTAAACAAGGTAGACTATATGCTTATACATCTCGAAATGAATCGTCTTAATTAAATATAGTATGAACTAGATGTGTGTCTCTTGATTTCCACGAAAACTTATGAACATCATTCCGAATCACCCACTTATATATCTTCACAATTTTTTATATATTCACGGTAACATCTCATCCTAAAACTCATGGGTCGAACACCGGTTCGCTCAAATATGATATTATCATCTAGCTCGAATCGTCGATTAATTAATTTATAAAAAAATAAATAAAATCAGTAAAAAGTTGAGAAGTAAAAAGGGTAAACTATCCACTTTTATATCTTGATAGGGATCATTGATTTTGTGGATTTCATTGATTTTCAAGGGTTGATTTTTTTAATATAGTTATGGGTGGTGGAGATACGAATTTGTGTCTAACTCTTCCTATTATTTTCAAAAATTTATCCTATGAATTTCATAAAATAAAAAATGAATGAAAAGTTATTTCACATATTATTATTTTAAAAATTAAATATTTAAGAAAAACCTCAATTTATACTATCAATTATACAAAAAAATTTCAATTATTACGAGAACAACAGTTATTTCTTGGTAAATTTAAAATATAATAATGTATACATTGAATTTTTGTACAAGCATTCGGGTCAAATGGGTTATTTAGGTTATTCGAATTGGGTTCGGTTCGGTTACGGTTATTTGGGTTATGAATCATTCGGGTTATGAGTTGGATTGAATAACGAGTTATGGGTTGATCGCATTACAGGTCAATTGGTTTCGGGTTACGGGCGGGCTTCGAGTGGTTGACTTTTTATCAAATCGAGTTACGGACGGGTTGTGGATCGGGTGGGTTTGACGGATTGGTCGGGTCGGGTTCAATTTTGACAGCTCTAGTCAAAAAGCACCAAATCACCAACTTTACTCACTAATCGAGTAGGAACTCTTCTTTCCTCTGTAGCCACAGTGGCAACGGGAGGGAGATCGGCATCAGGCAGGAGAAGGGCAGCCGGCTTCCTCCATCCCTCTGCACTCGAGTAGCAGCGGCGGGAGCAGGTGGCAGGGTTAGAATTATAATTGAGTTGAGGGTATATATGTCAATTTGTTGTGTTTTAGGTTGATAAAATTTAAATTTTAGAGCGACGAATAGCGATTCAGATTTTTTCCTCAAACGGTTACGAATGATAATTCCTAAGTAGCAGAGGGGGATTAAACTTTACGGGCCTTCCGATAACTTTTAGGTTTGTCCGGCCCACAAGCAAGCCCAGGCCGCAGCACAGCGCTTACACATATATCTAGTTCCTCTAACTGTTCAACATCCCGGAGCGGTACGAATGCCTCGCCGCCAAAATCCAAAACCCCCAAATCTTCAAATAGTTCGAGGTTTGCCCGCGGCTTTACCACTAAGCTTTCGAACCGTCCACCCTAATTCGTTTCTCATAACCTCTCCGGGATGGAGGAAGATAACGAGGCAAAAAACTGCGTGTGCCAAGTGTGCGGCGGCCGCAGCTTCTACGAAAACGACGGTTTCTATTATTGCCAGGAATGCAGTTCTCAGGCTCAAGGAATCATGCTCACCGACGTTGCCGACGAGGATTTCTTCGATAAAACCGGCGGCGGTGGCGGCGGCCTCTATAGTGCTCGCTTCACCCGGCGTTCCCAGCCCACCCTTAGTCAGCGAACCGAAGCCAATTTCACTTCCCAACTGTGGTACCAATTCTCGCAGGAAGTGGAAGGGAGCAAAGAGATTACGCCCAAGAAAGAGCTGAGTCGCTATTCTAATTGCGACGGCGACCCGATTGGTCCTACGGAGCCGGAGGATTTTGCGGCGAAAGCGACGGGGACGCTCGATTACGAGGATTACTTCAATGAGGTGAGGATTAGGTACATAATGGGGATACAGTGGATGATTCAGTTACAATGCGAGGCTTTGGTTGAGAATTTCGGTGTCAGCCCTTTGATCTGTGGGATTGCCTCTGCTGTTTGGTTGAGGCTCGTGGTTGTGGCTGGAGTGTTCAAAGATGGCTGGGCTAATGCCACATTAACGGAATCCGAGATTCAAAACCGGGGTACGTAAGAAACCATCGCTTTGTCATTTGTTGCTCTTGCTGATGCTTTTTTTTTTTTGTAATGGGTACTGAGATTTGAAGCTAGACTGTAACTTGTCAGTACTAGTTCGTAGTAGAGGTTAAATTTTCAGTGGCAATTTGACTAGTTCTCTTTATTTTATTTTCCAGCTTGAATTTTAATGCATAGGAGCGTTATTGCTTAACCCTCCATGGTCTGCAGGGGAAGCTTACTACAGTAAAGATCATCGCAAGCGCAGCAATGAACCACATAATGCATATGGCCAGCGAGCTGTAATGGTTTGGTTTAGGAGTTTGAGGAAAGTAATACCTCTAGATTACTCTTTGGCTATCTGTTTTTTAGCTTGCCATGTTGCAAGGGAAGCAGTTCTACCTACTGATATAGTGAAGTGGTCACTTGAAGGTAAGATTCCTTTTTTTGCTGCCCATGTTGAAATTGAGAAGCGCTTCGAACAACCATCGCTTGCCTGTCCGATAAGTTCGTCCCTAATGTTTAGGCCTTCTCAGCCAGTTCCTTTCCAGAAATTGGAAGCAATGGCAGCTAGTATTGCCGAGTTAATAGGTTTGAGTTTGCCACCAGTGAACTTCTATGCAGTAGCGTCTAGCTTTCTCAATCAACTGTCTGTTCCTGGCGAAAAGATTCTTCCACATGCTTGCCACATCTATGAGTGGTCAATGCCTCCTGATTTGTGGTTGTCAACAAATGAGTTGAGACTTCCCACTCGTGTCTGTGTGATGTCGATATTGATTGTAGCAATTCGAATGCTATACAATTTAAATGGTTTTGGTGCATGGGAAAGGAGCTTATCTAAATGTGTCCCTTCTGGAGTGAGGGGAGATGCTGACAGGGATACCGGCTACCTATCTGATGAGATGCCTGATTCAGGTGAAAAAATGGTCATCAATGAACGCGTTGTTCAGGGATTGAAGTTTGATTCCGGGGAACTCTTGCGCAATCTTGAGTCAAAGTATAGTGAGATTGGAGAACCATGTGGTAAATAGTTGGATGTGTTAAATTTCTGCTGTTTTTGGCAAGTAGTTTCTCTGGATCATCAACTTATGCATAACATGTTTGTCCAATTCTTCCCTTCCACGCCTGCAGAATTTGCGAAAGACTTGCCATCATATCTCCAGTACTGCAATGACGTGGTATTTGCCGGAGGTGGTTCATCTTCGCAGGACCAGCGGGAGGAAGAAGAATTGATAGAGAAGCTATGGAATTATTACCAGAATGCAAAGGTAACTCATTCTTTGGATTTGGCTAGGGTGCACCTTTCCAATAGTTTTCTGGTGATAAATAGAACTACTTGATAAGATGATGGGGAATTTTTTGATGGTAAAAATGAAGTGAGTTTTCAAAATTGTCAACTATGTGTATAATTTGAAGATTTTTTGTTACTTTTATTTTGAACTTTTCCGTCTATTTTTAGGCTGCAACAAACTTACTTCAGATGTATGCATGGTTCAGTATCATAGAAAAAGTTTGCCCCGCTAGCAGTGGTTTTAGTTTTGACCTAATTATGATGCTTATATATGTACATATACGTGTATCAGGATTGCGAGTCCGGAGAAGAAGAGCCTGAGATGCATAGCTATACTGTTAATAAAAAAAGATCAACGAGTGATGACGATGGTTATATCCCAACACAGCCAGTACCAAGGCAATTCAGAGAGATGTCAAATGAAAGCCCCTCTCCTCATAGTTCCAACAACCACGGTAGCGATTCCCCGCTCCAGGATTCTGATAATACCGACACTTCCGAAGAAATCGCTCTCAGGAAATTGAAAACGGACATGGAGGAGAATCATTTCTGCTACATCCCACCGAGGGTTAATGCCAAGAGATCTGGCTATCTCCAATATGCAAGGAAACAGGACGAAGGTATTTTGAGATATATTGCGCATGCAGATTACTACATCCTGCTGCGTTCTTGTGCAAAAGTTGCTCATGTCGATATAAGGTTCATGCACATTGCGGTGTTGGGTCTGGAGAGGAGATTGGCTTGGTTGGAGAAAAGGATTCATCATTGCTTGCATTAGACCCCTCCTAGTATTACTTGTGACAGCTATAGGGATGTTCCAGCTTGCGAGTACGATGTTGGAGGTCGAACTCCTAGTCCAAAACTTAAATCTCTGAAATTTTGGTGCAGTTTCCAAATCTTCTGGCAAATGACCCTTTTAGTTCTAGCATCAGACGTGTAATTGTGTTTTCAATTTTATATAATTTCATTAGGGAAAGTGGGATTGTGCCACCTTGAGGGCCACTATTTTGAAGTTGACAACTTCACAGGTATATTATTATTAGTTAGATTTTTAATAGAATTAGTAGAGAATTTACTGTTTCTTAGAGTCAAATTAGTAAGGACAAACTTGATTTATTAGACCCTCTACTAATTAATTAGACTATCTTTCATATCAGATTTTTTTTTTTTTTTTTTGCCCTCTTTCTATTTTAGAATGGCAATGCTTCCTTATACCCTCTTTTATTTTATCTCCCTCTTACCCCATCTCACACACACATACCCCAATCGCTTCTCTCGGCTCCAAAAATCCCATGCAGAAACCAGAAGAAAGAACAAACTTCTCTCTGGTTTTTCCCCCCATTTTCTTCTCTTTCATTTTTCCCTTATCTCCTCTCACCAACCCAACTCTCCCTTGAAGAAGCGTGGATGCCGATGACCAACCCTAATTCCTTCCAACTCCTCCTTCCGCAGCGATTGGCATCAACGACCAGTGGAGCAATGGTGGTCTGTAGGAGCCTCTAGGCGTTGACACAATGATGGCGAGGTGATGGAGGTGGCCAGTGGTGCATTGCCCGCTCTATCGACCTGAGGCGGGTCCGCAAGAGCGCAACGATGATGGAGATGGTAGTGAGGCGCTGCGGTGGCTTGGAGCTGGTGGAGTAGACAGGATCGACGACGATTCCTGGTTCGATTGGCGAGCCAGTGATGACGATGGCAACCGCACTGGGATGGTGTAGTCGAGGTTGGCGACCGTCTAGTGGTGTCTCAACGATCTAGGGCCTGTAGTGCAGCGACGGCGACGGGGATAGGCGCGTCGCTGCGTCAACAAGCCAAGCGGAGATGAGGGACACAACTTTGGCTGTTTTGCCTGGTGAACACCCTGACCATGTTGTGGTCATCAAGGTAAAAACTCTTAAGCTTGGAATCTTTGACTGTGTTATGAGGATAGTACAGTAGGTGATTGTTAAGCCATGGATGAGTACACATCCTAGATCTTCTTGGGTGAGACCAACACTATTGTAGTGCACAACACATGTGAGGATTCCTTGTTGGCTGCACCAATCATCCTGGACTTGGTACTTCTTGCTAAGCTCAGCTCCAGGATTCAGCTTTAAGTTGAAGGAAATGTGATTTCACGTACCATAATTGAGACCAAATTGATGGTTGTTTAGTTGATGAATTAATTTGAATTAGCTTGCTTTTTAATTTCCAGGCCATGTTCCACCCTTTCCACCCTATGCAACCATTCTCAGTTACCTTACCAAGGTTTCTCTGGTGAGTTAAAACAGATGGATAGGTTGTTTCTGTTCAAGAGATGTTTGATGAATCCGAAGTTTGACCAAGTTGTCAATTGTGATTTTTTTAATAGGTTCCATGAGGCAATACCAGTTGTGAATGCACCCTCAAAATAGAGGGCAATGCTGGAGAATATCCTAAGCTTGTTTTGGTTTGCCTCCTAAGAATAACATGATCTTGGAATACAAGTGAAGGAAGGAAAAACAAGAGGAACAAAAAATTATTTTGCTTTTCCTACTTATACATGATATGCAGCATGAAACTATGAAGCAAAGTGCCAAGTGTTTGGAGTTATGTTCGAGTAACGCCGGAGAAGGAGATCTATCTGAATTGGTTTATAGTTTCATTGATGCTATAATTTATTCTTCTCTTCCATTATGGGATTTTTGGTTGCTATATGTTTCACAAATGTTACATGATTCAATCTTTGTATTAGTCTCCATAACTAACATTTTGAAATAGAAATATTATTTGTCTCTATATGTCATTATATCTATCTCAATTTCATAACATTTTTTAAGCCTTTAAGAAACAAATATTATTTTTCTCTACATGTCATTGTATCTGAGTCTGTTTCATAACATTTTTTCAATCTTTTAAAAAGAAATATTATTTGTCCTCAAATGTTATTGTATTTTCATCGTTTTCATTATATTTATAGAGACAATAAAAAATTTCAAAATATGAACTTTAAATATTCTTATATAAACAATACTTATAAAATAACTAAAAAAATTAAACTTACATAATAAAGTAATAAACCATATTAGGGTTTTAGCGGGCACCACTCATCCACCCCTAGGCGGCCGCCCCTCCTTTCTCATTCACCTTCCCCCTATTATCAAAACAAAAACCCAATCTGAGAAACAATTAAACAAATCCAAACCCATTTCTGAGTAATCAAAATTTCGACAATCTGTGCCGAATCAAGAAGAAGACCCATCAGCACCAGCACCCGTCGCTTCTCCTACGATCCTTGCTTTGTCTTTTTCTTCTAGGTATACTTTCTCGAGATGCCAAGGAGTCGAGCAAGGTGACGAACTGTTCTCGTCTCTGAGTGGTGTTATGCTTTAATCAATTTTGATTTGTTTTTTAGTTTCAATTTTGATAATGCTTTTTTTTTCTCATTCTGTAACACTCTGGATCTTCCGGGCAAGTTTATAGAGAATGGAATTGGAAAGAACTCGTAATTGCAGAACATAATTAGAATTAGAGGAGAAGAGGAGGAGAGATTGGGGAAGAAGATCAGAATGAAGAAGTAGACGGAGAACGAGAGGGAGAAAGCAGAAAGAAGAGTTGGGCAAATTGATTCTGTAATTTCTTAATCTTCCCATTATAGTAACGTCCCTTTTATAGGACCAACCAAATTACAAAAACATCTCAAACTAACACTTGTTTACAACTAAGTCCCAATCGTTACAATCCCCACTTCTTGAGAAAGGCTTGTCCTCAAGCCTAATGAAAGAAACAAAAACTAACAAGGGTAAAAATGAACTCAGTCCTGCAATCATCATGCTAAAATACAATGAACAACCAGAGGCGAGCACTAGAAGGAAACTTTCCAGCCACAACACTAAATCTGATGCAAATTAAACAGCAGCCTTGTATTAGTGCATGATGAGAGCTACTTCTGCTAGAGTTTGATGGAGGATTGCTTCTCAATAACAAACAAACTGCTGCAATTTTCTTCATCATCCAACCAATATACTTTTGAGTCACTATCTGGATAAGAGAACTACCTGCACACAGAACAGGTACAAGATAATAGAACAACTGAAAATGATACCCCATGGGAGGAGCTCTTTTCATAGCAACATCCTTAGCAACTCTTGGCCAATTAAGGGCTGCACAATTCCTCTGTTTAGCTTCCTTTTGTTGCACTTCCCCTGGTGTAAGAGTAAGCTTTGATGCTTCTAAACTCATATGCTTCATAGACTCATCAATCTTGTACACAAACTCTGAATGACCTGTTCTCTTTATGTCCAAATCAGTTTCTCCAACAGGGACAGTTCCTTTTCTTGAATGAATTGGCCAAGCACTCCACTGCATTGATGGGACCTCAACGATTCATTGAGCAGCTTCAATACCAGCCATTATAACGACAATCCTCTGTTGTCTTCCATTGACTTCAGCAACATCAATTGTAACTTGGCTTCCCAATGTATCCTTATAGGGCTCCTTTAAGCTAGGGCACCTTCCCTGCCACGCGAAGTCACAAAAACCCCATAGTAAGCAGGAAAACCCCTATACCCATAATCCCAGTTGCCATCTTCACCAACATAATCAGCCATGCTCTGACTGCCATATTGAACCCCTCTAAACCCCTGAGAAGACAGTCCACTAACATTCATAGTTATTGAAGACAAATGCTTAATCCCACAATCTAGTTGATCACCATACATTAGCTTCGCAGTTTTGGTTGCAACTCCAATTTGAAGTAACAATTGTCCTTCTTTGCAATTGGTTAGTAGTTTTGGTGCTTAATTGAAATTGTACTCTGACTATAACAGGCGAAGCTAGTGGCTGTGTAACGACATTGAGAAGAAATTACAGAATCAATTTCCCCAACTCTTCTTTCTGCTTTCTCCCTCTCGTCCTCAGTCTACTTCTTCCTTCTGATCTTGTTCCCCAATCTATCCTCCTCTTCTCCTCTAATCCTAATTGTGTTCTACAATTACGAGTTCTTTCCAATTCCATTCTCTGTAAACTTGCTGGGAAGATCCAGAATGTTGTGTTACACATTCCAGATCTGTTATAGCTTTGTTCCAATCGCCAGATCTAATTAGAGTGGGCCAGATCTGGTGCAATCCCAGCGAGCGAGTTGGCTTCGTTTCAATAAGAAATCAATATTCCCATGTTTTTCCTTTTCTCTATTCTAGTGTCGCATAATAATCAAAACTCCGCTGCTTGATATGTGCTTATTGTTCTAGCTTCTCACTTATTGTTTTTACGGGTTTTTCCTCTATTTATTGTTTTGGGTTCAATTTCATCCATTCAGGTTATGTTCGACAACCATGGAAGCTAATAAGCTCAAGTACAAGTTGCAACACGAGGCCAATAAGAAGGTAGTTGTCTTAGCGAGCGAGCGAGAGAATAAGAAGACTGTTGTTGTTGTTGTTGTTGTTGTTAATCCCTTATTGTAAAAGAGCACCTTCATTGGTCGTTCTTTTTTATTTCCTTGATCATGTACATTGTTTTCTTTTGTAACTGGTGAAAAATAAATAAAATAATGTTACTTATATTCTAACTACGTTCGTAGCCAAATGTTTCTCCCTCTAAAAGAAGCAATACTAACAATAGTATTTGTCTCCAAATATATGCATCAGAAGCTATATATGTTTCCATAAAGTTCTTTGAAAGCTAATACAGTTGTCTCTAAAACTAATATTGAAAACCAAATATTTGTCTCTAAATATATCTATTGGAAACAAATGTTTATGTCTCTTTAAAGTTCTTTAGAAGCAAATATAGATGTCTTGAAAATAAAAAACATTTGTCTCGAATTTCATTATTAGAGACAACTACCATTTGCATCTATATTTGTCTCTAAAATGAATCCGAGATAGAGACAAATGATTCAAATAACATATTTGTATCGAAAGATATACAGAAGCAAATAAGTAAAATATATGCTCAAATAACCTCTATCTCCGAAGCTTAGTTTTGTTGTAGTGGAATTGACTAATTTTGTTCAAGAGGTGTTTGATGAATCCAAAGTTTGACCAAGTTATCAATTGTCATCTTTTTTAATAGGTTCCATGAGGCAATACCAGTTGTGAATGCACTATCAAAGTAGAGGGCAAAGTTGAGTAATATCATAGGAGCTTGTGTTCGTTTGCCTCCACAGAATCTCTTTTGCCCAAACCATCACCAATCAATCACAGTGTTTGAACGGGTTAGTTCTTCTCCTTTTCTCGCTTCTTCTTCCTTTTGCTCTTTTGTTTCCTTGCTAAAACTTATTCATCCTGAAATCGATAGAACTTTAGTTTTGCGGCCAGCATCAATCAAGCGATTAATTGTCCAACAACACTAACACGAAAGTGGGATAAGAAGAAGGTGCTAACGTTGACATTATTTGGTCCGGGTAAAAGTGGATGATAATCCCCTTCTTATAAGAAAAGAAGCACTTTGGGGTAAAGGAACATATTGGACGATATTTGATAGACTTGGCAATCTGCAGAGAGCCAATACATGGAGAGAAAGCGCGTTGCATGATTTAGCGATGAATTGTTTATAATTAAGGTAGGGGTTTGGTTTAGTTTCACTAGCTGCTTCTACTATGTTTTTATTTTCATTCATGTTGCTTCTAATGGTGGATTCAGTGTAGATTGACACTTTAGGAGACCATTTGTTGTCCATTTACTTTGCCCTCTTTTTTCAATCGCTCTGTTTGTTGCCATTTTCTTTTGTGTGAATTACGTTTTTGTTGGTTGTATTGATTCTTTACTCATGGCATTGCCTATGCACCTTTCTTTTTTGTCAAGTAGAATACTCAATATGGCTTGGAAAAGTTCAACAATTACATGCAAGTGTGATGCCAGATTATGATGCACAAAATGGTGAAAATGGTCGTACCATTTGTTTCACCACACAAAAGGACTAGGAGGTGGGCACGAAAGCAGTATGATTTGACTGAGTAGCCTCTCATATTGCATAAATCATGACATAATGCAGTACCTACAGTTGGCCAACATGATCAAGTTTATTCATAAAACCTATTCTTCGACAGGTAAGTGGTGACCTTCACTTGCTTTGTTCAGTTTCTTCTTTATTGCTCAAAAGAGTTTGTTCAATCCTTCCCGAAGGAAATATGGATTGTGCGTTTGGTAATACATATTTAGGGTGATTGTTGAATGCTTACTGAAATTTCATTCTTAACCATCAATCTCCAAAATTTGTGTTTCTAATTAGTGCACTATTGAGATCCTTTTCTATCGAATTGATGAGTTCCTTTAACGATGATAGTAGAGATATCTTGGGTTGTTAGACACATGATGTGATTGGCCTTGGTTAACAACTAAGTAAGCCACCTGCCAGTAGCAGCCAGTGAAGCTTTATGGAGAAACTTCAAAGGTATAGAAACTTGGATTTTTTGTTGTTGCGAACTTGGATTGTGTTGCTCATGCTATGAGAGAAATTTTATAAGATGGATTCTTGTGCCTCTTATGATTGGAGTTATAGGACATATTGGTTCTCGGAACACATGTTTATAACCCGCTTATTCCTGCTGCAATTTTTCCATATCAAATTAAAGAGAGGCCAGCTGAAATATGTTATATGATGATGGTATGTGCATTAGCAAGCCGTGAGTTTGGACCAATCTGGAAATGTTGGCAGCTAGGATGAAGAGCAAAAAATCAGAATTGCAATCTAACATGCTAATATATGCTAAAC